TGGCCTAGCACGTGGCAGCACTGTGGCCAGGTGCTGAGAGGGTGTGGCCTAGCACGTGGCAGCACTGTGGCCGGGTGTTCAGAGAGTGTGGGCTCGCACGTGGCAGCACTGTGGCCAGGTGTTCAGAGGGTGTGGCCTAGCACACAGCAGCACTGTGGCCGGGTGCAGTGTGGGAGGCTGACGCATCCACTCTGCTTCGGACATTTTGGTGCCCAGTGCTGTTTTCTTCTTTCACTTTAGAATGAAAATGTGGTTTCTGTTCATGGGGGCCTCCTTCTCTTAGCCCTCCTTCGCTGAGATGCGGGTGTCCCAAGGCTGAAGCTCCCCTTGCCCTGGAGTCCAGGTTTTCCAGACTTGGTGCAGGAGCCAGGGCCTCGGGACGACAAGCTGACTGTGCCCCGGCGCTGAGCTGCGCTGAGCCTGCCGCGTTTGGTGGCTGGTCTGCACCCTCTGCCTCGTTCCATTTCTTCCTTTGTGGCTCCAGGCCTGCCCCTTCCTTTCTCCCAGTAGTAGGCATTTCTGACGTTACAGCTGGACAGCGATAGAGCACACTCGTTTGCCTTGGACAAGCAGTGGAGTTTTCCTTCTCTGGAAAAAATTTCGGTAGGTAAAAAGCATGGAAAGATGGCAGATTTGGGTGACTTCTGAAGGAAACTCAGAGCCCTGAGTTCTTGGTGTGATAAATGGCTTCAGTTAAATGTTTAATGCTGGGCTTGTTTTATTAGCTAATAAGTTAGATAGGTAATACAGACAGCTAACGTATGTTATTACGCCTTACTAGGCACAAATGGGAATAAGACTGCTGGCATCACCGGAGATGTTTCCCATCTTCCCTGTGGTAGAAACGGTTTGAAAATATGTTGCTCAGTGGGGATGCCCAGAGGTATGGGTTGTGTCACCAGCTCCAGGCAGGTCTCCAGGACCCGAGGAGAGGGTTCTGGGCCGGAGGAGACCACCAGGATTCGCCCGTCGGCCCCAGCCACCTGCTTGCGTATAGAAAGCTTTCTGAAGGGTCCATGGCCAGAACCCTGGGGGTGGAGCTGACAGACCCTGAGCCCTCCACCACCGCGCTAACCCCTCTCACTGTGTGCATCTGCCAGCTTTGTCTCCCGCAGGATCTGTGGCCTCAGAAGGCTGACCCATCTTTCTAGGGGTGCTGAAGCCCAGGCCCAGGGCAGTCTCTGTACGATTGAGAAGAGCCCAGGACTCGGCCTGGAAAAGCAGGGCACAGGCTGAGCCCCAGTGAGCTAGCCATGTGGTGCTGCACAGGGCCCATTGCCCAGCAGACTGCTGGGAAGCCGTGTAGCGCCCCTGAAGGCTGATGGGAACTGACTGCCCGTGGAGCTGTGCCTGCACCTGCTGCACCGTACTGAACGTCTGTAACTGCTGGGACGCGGGCAGAGCCTCTGTGTTTGCGGGAAGACAAGCACAGGCTCGTACGGGCGCTGGGTCTGGGCCATGTTTCTGCCCTCACTTCCTTAAGCTCGTCTTGACTCTAACCTCTCTCTCCTGGGCCTTTTGACCTTGGTTTATTCATTTGCTTTTGGAGATTAGAGGGGGAGGATTTCTGGTTGAGTATCCTTGAGCCCCTTTGAGCTGGGTTCTGGGACAGGTGCATGAGGGCCACAGAGGAAAGGTGTAGCATGCCTTTCAGTGAGCCCTTTGGAGTTGCTTGACTTTCTGGGGTGATGGCCTGGCTTCCCTGCAGGGGCTGACTGGGGCTGAACTGGAGGGGTCCAGGGCGGCCCGAGCAGTTAGGGTACCAGAGCCCCTCCATCCTGTCAGCAGAAAAGTGTCCGGGGAGAGAGCCTGGGAAAGTCAGACCAGCAGGGGTGGGCAGAGAGCTCCAATGCACAAACCGCCCTTCCCCTGTCCATACCCATGGCTGGGTGTAGCAGGAGTATGTACTCCGAGGTCAGGGTGGGCATGTTGTTCATCTGTAAAGTGGGCATGTTCATAGCACCTGCCGAAGACTCTGCTGGAAGCGGAGAGGTCAGAGTAGATGGGGCTCAGGGCTTATCCATTCCTGCCCCTCCCAGGAAACCAAGGCCCCTGCCTCTGGGTCTGCCAGGGAGCTTCTGGAATCTGGTGTTTGATCTGGATCAGCATTTAGCAGAAGGCTTCCAGAGGAGGGCTGGGGACTCCGGGGCCTGTGAGCCCTGAGCAGGAGTTAGAAGGAATGGGGCTGCTTAGCTTGGAGGGGGAAACAGAGCCGGCAGGAGGGTGTGAGGGCCTAGAGCCAGCTCCAGGGCCAGACAGTCGACTCAGAGTCCAGCTCTGTCACGTAGCAGCTGTGCAGCCCTGGGCCAGTTGCTTGGCATCTCTGTGCAGCAAATAACAATTCTCTCTTCCTCATAAGACTTTTGGGGGGAGTAAGGGAAATAACGTGTGTGAACATGCGTGTGTGTATAATGTGTGTGTGTATGTATGTGTGTATATCCATGTATGTGTGTGTATAATATGTGTGCAACGGTTAAATGCTCAGCTGCCAACCGGAAGGTTGGTGGTCTAACCCAGCCATTGGTTCTGCAGGAGAAAGACCTGGTGATCTGCTCCTGTAAAGATTACAGCCAAGAAAACCCTATAGGGCAGTTCTAATCATATGGGGTCTTTGTGAATCAGAATTGACTTCATGGCACCCAGCAACAACAACATTTTATGTCTGTGTGTGTATTTATGTGTGTGTATCTCTATGTATCTCTAGCTCTCTGTATCTGTATATCTATCTTTTTTCTTCCATTTTTATCCTCCCTTTTCTGTCCTTGCCATTAACTTCTTGTTTCTCTCCTTGCCTGCGGGGAGCTCCGTATTCAGAGCTGAGGTTATGAAATGGTGAAAGAATCTGACTTGCCACCTGCCAGCAGAGGCCACCGTGAGTGGACATCCTTTTCTTGGGGTAGAAATGATCTGGGAACCCCCAGGCACTGTGCTGGCTGTGTCCCTGGGCTTGGGTGCCCAGCAGCAGCAGCAGGACAGGCCATAGTGGGTCTGGTTAGAAATTGCTTTCTGACTGGCTTCGCTCATGTCTTCTTCAAGCCCCCGGCACCTGAATCTTGAGCAAGGATGCCAGGTGGGACTGCAGGTGATGCAGCCATCTGGACCCTGAGTGAAAGACGTTTATTGTAGTGAGGA